ATTTCCCCACCGTGGGACTAATAAAGGATGTTATCTATCTATCTATCTATCTATCTATCTATCTATCTATCTATCTATCTATCTATCTATCCATATAACCGTCCATCCTAATGTAAAGACCAACATAAGAGGTGATATGTCACAGTGGTTGAGGTAGGACTTCAGCTTTACGCACAGCCACCGCCTCCTTGCGGCCACTAGATGGCGTAATTGAGCGGCAGCCTGCAGCCTGTGCCTCTGCCCTGCAGACACTGAGTCTACCTGGGACTCACTAATCTGTTTCTGACTCAGGGCGGAGAAAAAACTTCTCACTTTTTTCCTCTCATCGAGGAGGAGCCTGCAGACACACACCGACATGCAGCGCAGTGGAGGCTGACGCACAACCTGAGCAGCTTCAAACACACAGCCACTCAGTCACGGTCGGTCCTCTCGGCGATGCTTACCCGACTCCGCACCACAGATTGATCACCGACCACCGCACAGCCGACCACCCTCCAGCTGAGCCCTCAGTGCAGCGGAGAGAGAGCGAGCCAAGCAGCGCCCCCCTCTCTGAGCTCCAGGTGAGTAGAAGCAGCTCCCGCTCTCTGGAATGTCAGGACAGATTGCTGCAAGACTCCGGGGAAATTCCTGAGCAACACTTATTATGGCAAACAAACATGTGCTTTACTGTAATTTTATCACAAGTGTGGACTGCGGACTTTTTCTTTATTCTGGAAAAGACATTTTCTTTAAAAGAGAAAGAGGCACTGATGCAAAAAGCTCTTTATTAGTTTACAACTGTTTAGTGTCAACATGTGCATAAGTGACTTTGAACACATCCTTCATACATTTGCATGACATCTTATTTCTCTTACTGATTCCAGCAGATCAGAAATCAATACCTCAGGTTCTTTATGCAGATATGTTTGCTGCCAAGCACATGGGTGCTGGAGCCACACATTTCAAATGGCATTTGCAGGAACCTCATCTAGGCTACATTCAAATGCATTTTAAAACAATTCATGGGCAACAAGCATCTCTTCAAATACACTGTGAAGTGTGTGACAGGTACTTGTATGTGTTGGTGGAAAGGTTTCAGCCAAATGCGGAGGACAACTGAGACTCCTTTTAATTTCTCCCATCACTAGCTTTGTAGTTTAGGCCTCGTTTGCATAATGACAATGTTGTGATTTCAGTTCAAAAGCACAAAGGAACTAAAACACTGAGTTCCTGCTCTTGTGGGGATTTTGCTCTGTTTGAAACAGTTGCTAATGGAAGAGAGGGATAAGAATCATCAGTTAATTAATTGTGACTTAATGAGTAATGCTTTTCATTGTCTGTCTATGGCATTTTATTGGCATTTGGGTGTTGAGGCGTGTGTGGGTGTGTGTGTGTGTGTATGTGTGTGTTTGTGACCTTGCACACCTCTCTCCCCTTGGTCTGCATAATTGTTTTCTTGGTGCCGCCTGACTGTCCCGGGCCCCGGGGCCCCTGGGGGAAGTCCTGCCCGCAGACAGGCAGCTCAGCCCCGGCTGGGGGACATGCCGGGTCCTGCCGGGCCTCTGAAGTCTGCTGGCTGGCTTTGAACTGTAGCTGCTGGAGGTGGAAATCAATCCGTCTCTTTTCTTTTTAGTCTCTCTCTATCTTTGCGTCTCTCTTCTCTCTCTACCCCTGCAGCCCCCCAGAGCAGCCCATCTCCGCCGCCATCAAATCTTTCATGTTCACAGGTAGAAAGGCAAAAAAGGAGACATGGAGATGAAGCAGGGGAGGGACTGTAACTCATCTTCAAAAGAAGTTAATACGGTTCCTGAGGATTAAAGAGATGAAGGCAGAAAAAACTCACAAAGCCAGCGCCTGTAGTCGAGATCATCCAACACTAGACCAGAGAGAATAGATGATTTGTTTACTTACTCGCCTCTCTGTTGCTTTACGCGGCTCAGCATTTAGAATATACACAATAACTCTATTTATTTTGGAGTGATATCATAAGGAAGGAGAGGGGGGAATTCATGTGTTGCTCTTGTGAAAGTCGTTGCAGAGATTTATGTTCGGTGTCACAGCTGATTCCAATCCACACAGCATATCCATTTTCCCCCCGTGGAGAAATTTATCGAGCTCAGGAGGCCTGTTGGGCTTCAATGTTTTATAATGCTTCACACATCTAAGACAGAGCTTGACTAAACGCGTCATCCGGACTGTACTTGTGGAAGTGAAGTTATTTCTGCTCATTTGGTTTCTTCCAAAGTGCCCTAACAGAACCAGCACCATGTGGAATGGCTCCAGTAATCCTGTGTATTGTAGAGAATTGTATTAACCATAGGGATGTAAGAGTTTTAGATTCTCTATTGATCCAAAAGATGATTTTAAGGAAGTTAAAATGTCAGTGTCAACTTCAACCCCACTGGGATATTAGGGTTAGGGGTTTTAAGTTAAGTTTTAAATTTGTTAAAAGCTTAAGTCAAATACTTCTACCTAGTCCTGAAAGTTATTGTAAACCACAAAAAGACTGCTCACAAAACGTGTATAATTTACTTGATTAAAATTAATTTTAAAGAGACAATTTTTGAAATGAATGATGTTGGAGTAAATAGTTATCAAATTTGTTGCTTAATTTAGCATTTTTAATAATTCTATAGTAAATTATGCTATAGATAATAAATCGGGATTGCTTCAAAAAAATGAACTCATTGATTTCATTTTTTATTGACCTCTGTCAGATAGATTAGATCCTGACAGTTTTTCTAAAATGAGCAAAAATAAATCATTAACTAAAGTCTTTGTTCTGCATCAGTCTGCAGTCGACACGGCTCAAACCAATGCACATTCCTCTAAAATGCTAAAACAAAAGGATTTTTCTTCCAATATAACCCAGTTTAGTGTGTTCTTAATCAGTTAGCGTCACACTCACAACCACGACAAGGTAGCCGCTGAGGAGGGGCCAGCAAAATCCTCATCGCTCCCTCGGGGGGCTTCCAGGAGGTAGTTGCTGCGTTTCATTATATCTTAATTTAGGTGCAATAATCCCAGCGAAGCAACATAAAAGGCAAAAACTTTTCTAATCATACGTTTAACTCTCAGCACTGTTATTTGCCCCCATGCACCGTGCAGCCATGCTTAACAAAAACCAATTCTAAATCAACTGTTGAAACGTCTCCACGTTGGCCCGCGGGGAGCAAAATTGAATCTCATTGAGGTTTGTGGTCTAATTTCTGTGTCCTGCATGTGTTGGGAACCTACCGTCATTGGTTCCTTCTAGTCAGAATCTGTGGAAGGTCAAAAAACTGAAATACTGGGTGAGGTCTTGAAAATCATAGCATATATCGTACGCCCAAGATGAAGGTAGGACAGACCGCTGTGTGCTGTCAGAGGAATTCCTGCACACGGTTGCAGATTCTCTCCCCAGCTGTGGTGTTTCTGCTGTTGGTGAGACAGCTGGCAGGTGGGGAGGCGGTGAGGGATCAAGCTCTTTGCTGGAGCACCTGTGCGGAGGACCTGGATGGATGGTGTTATCTGTATTCGGCCCCCTGCGTGTTGCTCGTGGTGACAGGTGAAAAATAGCCTTTACCAGTCTCAATCGCTCCTGTTCTTCTTTTGGTTTGCAAATATCCCCCCTCCAAGGAAGCCGTTCTTCAAATCTCAGACAATTGGCTTTTTCAGTGGGTTGATGAGGTTTCATGCTTCCCCTGGCCTCGCAGCCACATCCGTCCATCATGAATTATCCTCCTGCGAGGAGCGTTCAGATTTGTATTAGAGAGAAATCATCACAGAAGGGCGAAAACACTCTTACAGTATATTATTGTAATGCTGACAACTGCAAACATGAACAATTTTGATTGAATACTGATTGGCTTTACTCAAAATTGATGTTTTAAGAATGACTCTTTGACTAAGGTAATTTATATCATAATTATTGCTCAAGTCTAATCTGTGAATCACAATAAATGTAGTGGTTCTTACTAGTGATTATATGTTTTTTTCCAGGAACCATCATTAAATGTGCACTCTTAAAAAAAACAACATAATTTTAGTGCACAGTGCTGCATTGTTCTGCATTCACTTTATTATAGGTGCTGGTTAGAGGAGAAGCCATGAGACATCTCAATGAATTCCAGGTCACAGATTAGGCTTCCCACCTACAGCCGCCGCAAAATAAACAGAGACAGACACAGAGACTGGGAGGGAGAGAGATGTTCTGCCCAAGCTGAGCTAAAGGAGGGAACAAGGGATCAGGGAGAGGAGACGATGAAAGACAAATCACCGGCAGGCAGGGAGTCAAAGAGCCTACTGACTGACTGGAGCTGGGAAAGGTGTGTGTTTCAGAGTGTGTGCCTGTGTGTGTGTGTGTGAAAGTGTGAGAGAGAGAGAGATTTCTTTTCATGTGCCCTAAGAGTTTGTTTTTTCCTGCGCACTGAGTGGGAAGCTGACAGTCAGTCTGTAATTAAAGCAATCAAAAGATGAAGAGAGATGGAGAAACATCACACACACACACACACACACACACACACACACACTCAATCCTCGAATGTCACTTGGCACTCAAATCACTGGAAATGTTTTTCACCGCTGCTTAAAAACCTGTAAATTATTTAAGGCTTTAAGTCTTTGCATCAAGTCCTCACAAGTTACTTCTTTTTATCAATGGCATAATACAACACAGCTGATATTTGAGCCATGAACTTCTTTGTGATTACCGGTTCCGGAAGTATTTGTACTCGTGTGATATGTCGGCGGAAATTCAAGTTGCTGCAGAGCGTGTTTTGACACTCTTGTGGGGATGCAGTTGGATGGATATTTAAGTTAGGAGACGAGGGCTGGCTGTTGTTCTGAAATCACTTTAATCATGGCTTTATTTTCACATCAAACTGAGACGGTAATCATGTTGGAAATTAGCTGTATTTGTTTCTGGCTCATTTGGCTCCTGATAAATGAGCCTCGGTGGCCAGCGTGTTCAGCGAGCCTGACTTCCTTTAGCATTGATAAAAACCCACATAAGTAAAAAGTTTGGGAACGAGCAGCGTCCGGAGTGCATCTGATGATTAAGACTGATGTGCACAGTGAAATATTTGTTCCTGTGTCTGTTTTTGAGAAGAACTTACAGTCTCGTTCAGGCGTAGGTGCGAGCGGTGTGATTTGACTGACAGCTCCGCTGCCGCCACCCTTCTGTTTACTCTCCAGCTGCCTCCAAATCATAGAAAGGAGATAAAAATGCCGGCAGCACATTCCTCCCTCCTAATTCACTCCAAGAAAAAAAAAAGGAGACAGGACAAGCCACTTATGATTACTTAGAAGTGGATTGACAGAGGATTCTTGAACACACACTAAGAATTATTACTGAGAGCTGAGCACAGTGTTCGCTACACTTGAACCAAGCTGCGATTTGATGTTTTCAATGCCGCTTGTAAAATAATTAGAGGCACATGCAGATGGTAATGACCACTGTAATGACATGGTATTAAACTGAATGTAAGTGTTTGATTCATAAACCATTGTATTCTTTCTCTGCTTTGTAATATTCTCATGTTTCATCATTCACAATGACAGCATCAGGACTCACTTCATTCACATGGAGGCTGTTTTCTTT